TAAATCTGATAAAAACATCTTCAATAATGTTGTAATTTACGCTTAACATCAAAGTTTTATCATCTTAGCTTCAATATACAATGAGATATCACATCATTTAACGAGCCCTTCAACTGGTCTAACGTTTCTCTAATAAATGTGCATATATTTTTCCTAAATACTTAACAAAACAAACAAACTTGGGTACTAGGAGAAAGCCCTACTCAAGACCAAACTAACGATACCCCTCCCACTTGAATCCGTCATCTCTATGAAGAGTTATCTTAAAAAAACTGATGTGTACTCATCAAAAAAAAAATCCTGTAACAACAAAAAATGACCAAAAAAAGTGATTGAAAACGTTTTAACAGTAAATCTGACAATAAAATTATCAAAAATGTTTTAATTTACGCTTAACCTCAAAATTTTATCATCCTAGCTTCAATTTACAATGAGATATCACATCATCTTTTATCGAGCCCTTCAACTGGTTTTAACGTTTCTCTAATAAATATGCATATCTTTTTCCTAAATACTTTCCAAAAACAAATAAACTCGGGTACTAGGAGAAAGCCCCGCTCAAGACCGAACTAATGATATTACTCCCATTTAAACCCGTCATTTCTACGAAAAGTTTTTCCTAAAAACTTGATGTATACTCATTAAAAAAAGACCTGTAACAACAAAAATTGACTAAAAAACCTGACTAAACCTATTTTAACCGTACTCATGATGCTAACATCATGAACACTGGTGTAATCTACGCTTAACCTCGAAGTTGTATCATCCTAGCTATAGATACATAGAGTTAAGACATGGTCCCATACAAGGATAGTCAACTAGCATGGAGGTCATCAAGAAAAAAGTTCAAAGACCGGTCAAAACAAGCAAAAACGGGTACTGGAAGACAGTATAGCCCACGACTGACTGACTGATAGCTTTTATTATCAAACGGGTCAAAATTGCACGGTTTTTATAATATGCACTACTTATAATTCTGTTCTTATGAAAAAAACACTTTTGAGTCGAGTAAGCACAAAAAGCGCCTACCCTAAGTGCTTAGTCGAAAAACATGTACAAAGAAAAAACTGTGTAAACGTCAGTTTTTAATCATCCAAAGGTTCATTTTGATCATATATAAATGTTTACAGGTGACAAACGCCTTTGAAAGCGAAAATTCAGATCATATTTCGCTGAACATTATTGACAAGTTAAGCATAAACTAAAGCTTTGGGTTTATCTTTTAAAAAATAGACCTAAACCAATTTTTAAGGCTTACAGCACAATTTAACGTGCTTTAATACTAAACCTGCTTCTGAAGTCGCTCCGAGAGCTACCTCGTTTGCTCAAACTGAAAATTTGCTTAGATGTAATTGCGTAATTCAAAATTCAAATGTTATTTTGCTACTTTGCATAAATTTTTTTTGTTTTTGGTACGGCTTCCCCAAATGTTTTCTTAGAAACTAAAACTACAATAGGTTCATCGTAATCACTCACTTACTCTGTTTTTCAAAATCACAATTGAGCTTCTAATTACCTTGCGTTCCTCAGTAAAAAGGAAAACTTCAAAGACACGAGGAAAAACTCAGAATTGGTATAAAAGTCAATTTTCGCCAAAGTTGCGATTAGCTTAAAACATCTTTTTCTCTCTAAATTGGCAAAAAATGGGAGTGCTTTAGAGAGCTCTAGCCATGATCTTTTGATTGAAACTACAATCAAATCATGTTAAAATTGACTCATAAAGTTATGGGTTCTAGAAAAAATATTTTCATAACAGAATGACTGGCAGCAGAAAAAAGATCATATCTCTAAGGAAACTTATTGGATTTCAACAAAATTGGTATGGTTGAGCTTCTCTTGAGCTACGAATTCAATATAGTACCATTTTCAGAGCTTAAATTTTCATTTTCTTGTTACGTCCTAAAAGAAAACATTGTGACTAGGAAAAAAAATTTGGCTATTTGTTAGCCTTTTGTTCATCCCTGTATTAAAAACTTCTTTTTTTGATTTTCTTTGGCATTGAATGAGTTGAAAGAAACCACATAATAATGAAAAGAATAAAAAAATTTAAAAATATTGAACAAACAATGAGAATTCCGAGATTATTATGATGACTTGAGCGGTCAGGACTTGAGATATATGTAAAAGCGAGGTTTTAATTATTAATTATATATTATTACAGCTATAGTTGTTGCTGGTAGCTGGACTAATCGGTTAGTGATTGTTGTATACTTGATCAGTATGAATAATTTGGTGATATTTACAGTATTATATAATCATCAAACAGCAAAATTTCCCTTTGGAACAATCCACATATAAATAGTGATAACTATTTCGTTGGATAATGTTTGATATTACAGTTCAATGACATCCTGATTTTCTAAGATTATGACTCAACTACTTTTTAAAAAAGTTTTACGGTTTTTGATTTTTCACCGGTCGAACAAGCCACTGATCAGTTGGTCTAAGACAATGTCGATGAAAATGACATGGCTGCTTCCGTTTTAGACACTCTTCTCTGTCTCTGGATGTTAGAATAACTGCTATCAACCCTTGAATGAGTTTTTTTCTTCTTTTTCTTCTGTAGTCGCTCCTTTGGGGCTATCCTGATTTGGCCCAATTTTCGTCGTTGGTGATGATGGCTGTTAGAAGACGTCAGCTCCATGCAAAACTCCTCAAAATTGCCAGGATTTAATGAATTAGAATATCCGTATTCTTGTTTTTGTCTTCTTCCGCATGAATTCGTATCGCTTTGATGGCAATCCCACACTCCTGTTACCAAATGATGACTTAGAGGTCAGGACTTGAGATATATGTAAAAGCGAGGTTTTAAGCATTAATTATATATTATTACAGCTATCGTTGTTGGTGGTAGCTGGACTAATCGGTTAGTGATTGTTGTATACTTGATAAGTGTGAACAATTTGGTGATATTTACAGTATTATATAATAATCAAACAGCAAAATTTCCGTTAGAAATAATTCACATTTAAAAAGTGATTTCTCCTGGACTATTTCTCCTGGATAATGTTTGATATTACAGTTCAATGACATCATGATATTCTAAGATCATGGCAATATCTCATTTCAAAGAAAAAAAACTTTGGAAACCGTTTTTTTGGCCAAAATTTTCAAAAAATTGAGATAAATCATGAGTATCACTTGATAAATAGGTGAAAAACCTGTTTTGTTTTCCCAAAGACGAATTTTGCGTCAATTATTCAGAGTTGATCCAAAGAGAATTGTTGTGGCTAGAAATTTGTTTTTTCTAATTTTTTTTTTCAATTCTGTTTTCCAAAAATTGTGAAATTTTTCTTAAGAAACCCTAATCCTAACCTAACCCTAACCCCAACCTACCCCGAGTCAATTTCGGAGAAGAAAAACTGTGTGGCTCCGACCATCGAGATCTCAGTTTTACTCGTCGTAAGCTAACAATTTGTGACGATTAAAACTGAGCAAAAAAACTGGTTTTAAAACCTCGTTTTTGATGAGCAAGGTGTTTTAAATTGAGCAAAATTACTCTTAATTACTTTAAACTTGATTAAAAACAAGTTTTAACATTATTCTGAACATCTTGCCTTTTATGAAAAAACGGTTATCATACAATTTTCATATATGCAAATTGTATGATAACAATTTTTTTAACTTCAAATTAAATTTTCGTTTTTGATGAGCAATGTCCTTTAAACTGAGCAAAAGCACTCTTAAATAATTTAAATTTGTTTATAAACAAGTTTGAACAATTTCTAAAAATCTTGCCTTTCATGAAAAAATGGTTATCATTAAATTTTCATATATGGAAATTGTATGATAACCATTTTTTTTCAAAAAAAAACAAACCTAGTTATTTTTCATCACCAGACTGTTGTATTTGGTTCAAATAGCCAGAGAAACTAGATTGAATCTTTTTTCAATGGTTTTTTGAAATTGTATGAAAATTGTATGATTAGCATTTTTCCAAACATTTGATGCAGGTAATTGTATGATAAGCTTTTTTGGTGTGGGGAAATTTAAAATAATCATTTTCGGTTTATGGATGTCAACCCGGGGTCACATTACCTTTCCAGGCTTTTTTGTTGGTTTTAATCGGTTTTCTTTATAAGACCGCTCAAAAACCGCTCAAAAACCGCTCAAATCTTGCTTGAAAAACCGTTCAAAAATCACCGCAAGAAATGAGCGGTTTTTGAGCGGTTTTTTAAGCAAGATTTGAGCGGTTTGAGAGGTTTTTTTCCCGACTTTTCCTCCTGGCCAAATTTTGTTGAACAATATCCGACGGGATTTTTTTTAACCCTTGAAAAAATTTTGCTGCCATTAGCTCAAAAAAAAAAAAATTTGTTAGCTGTGATTATTTTTTATGATGTTTTAAAAATTGCAAGTTTGAGAAATTTGGGATGGATAATGCGCGTACTATTTACTGCTAATAACTTTTAAGCGGCGATTTAATGCGGCTGAGGATTAGTTCAAAATTGAGTTGAGGGAGGCTGTTTGTTCTAGTTATTAGGCTGATTCTTGCTAAATTTTTCACTTCTTATTTCAAATAGCGTTTGCGAATGATTGTCAAAAAATCCGAAGTTTTTGTTTTGATTTTGTCAATCTTCTTGAGCAAATTTCATCAAGTTTTTTATTTTATCGAACACTATTCCATGTATATCTAAGAGCCATTGGGACATTCATGACGTGGTCCTGATATGAGCAGCCTTCTTGTTTTTAACTTTCACGAAATGTGTCAATCAACAAATTTCAGAAAAATATTGCTCAAACAATTATCTCAACGTTTTCGATTATGATAATTTATAATTCCTGAATCTTACAAAATTCATTTTCTGAGCAATTTGATTTGTTTTTGCAATTTTAGTTCTTTCGGCCACTTTGTGAGTACTGGCTTTATCAAACTAATATTTGACGAACAGTTTTTTTAAAGGTTTAAGTTTTGAAATTTGATTCAAAATTTCTTCGATTGATCACAAAAGCAGTAATTATATACGCAAATCTTCTGCTTCTTGTTGATGTTCATCAGAAAATTGTTGACTAAGTTCTATTGTTCATTACAATTTTGTACCCAATATAGCTATTTTTATAAAAATGCAGAAAGTGGTAAAATAACAGAAGTACTCTCGGAATATTGTCAAATCTATATATTCACAGGGGTTACAATATAGCTGATGTCTTAAAGTCCGAAAACCGTTTTCATTCCTCGTCTTCGTCTTCATAATCTTGCTTTTTTTGCCATTTGGCGCTGAAATCTTCAACGTCAAACTCACAAAGTGCATCACCAGGTATGTCACAGTTCTGCAACACAAAAGGGGGACTGCCTCGCTTCAAGTTAACACAGCCACTTTGTGCAGTGAAGTTCGAAATAACCAAACTGTCCGCGACTGTGGCCTCATTCGTGTCTCCGTCCTCGTCAACCCAAGTCAGTTTCCCGTCGCCATAGAAGTCGTGCGCGGCTATGTACCCACGAATGGAGATGTCGTCGTTTTTCGTTAGGAACTCTAGTTCGGTTTGGTCGTTGATGACAACCATGTTCATGTCTTCAGTTCCGCATCTTACCATCGCTTCTTTCCAGTTCCGGTTGGCTCTTTCGGACAAGTCGCAGTAGCAGTGTTTGTTTGTTATGCAGTCGAGGGCGTTGCAGGTCGAACTGAGATGTTGAATTAAACTAAGAAAAAAATCTGATTTACGAAAAATAATTTATTGATTATAAATAAAACAGTTTGCTAAAAACTTTTTGTTTTTGTGTCATTAAGAAAAACAGAAAACTATATTTTAAGATCGACCAAATATCAATTAGTTTTTTTTTGAATTTCAAAGATCTTAATTTAAAAAATTGCCCCCCCCCCCAAAGTTTATTGTGCAGTGATGCCAAAGGTGCCTTTAAAAAACTTTATGACTACTTGGTTAAAATTGAAAGTTGAACAATAGAGTGCCAGATGAACCATTTGGGTAGTGAAAAAGTTGAAAGTTGAAACCCCCCTAAAATACACTACAAACCGTTGTTATTTTAGTTTTCTAAACCTCGATGCACCAAACTTCCGAAATATAAGCGTCATCAAACTTGACCCGGAATATTAAAATTGTCGCAGATCAAATAAAACAAATCAAAACAAATCTTACGCGAGTGATATCTGTTTGTCCTCAGCTGCCTTTGCCGCTTTGAGTGCGTGTGTTTTGATCTGACAGACAGAGGACTGGAAGTCCATGCAGTCCCTAGGATGAATCGTCTCCTGCCAGTACCACTTGGACGTCACTGAGGATCCCAGAGAGTAGCACTTGGTGTCCGGGTCCATCTGGGTCCCAAAGTCCAGGTCCTGCACACAATAGAAAAATAATCTATTGTGGGAATTTAATTTTTTCAGCGTCCATGTCAGCCGAAATGACAATTGTGGAAAGTTTTTTTTTTCGTTGCAACCACGTCGCTGAAAGTGACTGGAAGGAACTATCTCGTAAGGTCTGTTTTTTTTCAGTCAGTTTTTCCATGCGAGGTAAGCTTTTAAAATCCTTTCTTTTGATCATGATTGTTATTCTATAAAACTCAAATAACGGCTCAGTGTCGAGAAAACCTGGTAAAAATTTTGTCTAAAGGTATCACTGATGATTCATTTATTTGATGGCTTGCTTTAGAAATACTTAAGTTGCTCTAGAGTGCATGAGGTCGAAAGTTAGAATTTGGTCAGCACCTGTTTTTTGCAAAGTTCTAATTTTCGGCTTGAAAAAATTATCGTAGGCATATCGTTTGTTTTCTATTTTTTGCCGGCGTAGTTGTTTCAGCACGAGTTATTTTGGTTATTTCATCAATTTTCAGTACCTTTTCACTCCGTTTCATGAATTCTTGTAACGGTGCTGGTAATTGGAATTCAAAAAAAGTTGCTGATTTTCAGTCAATTTTTCAAGACTGACATTGGCATTTTTGTTCAAACAGTTTGAAAAATGGGGAAGAAGTTTGTATTCGGGTGTGTCTTAGTTTTATTTTTCTTTCTTTTTATTTGTTTTTGTTTCTAGGCAAAATAAGCTACCACAAATAATCATCGGAAAGATTTGAACGACAGTCGGGATTTGAACGACGTTACACAATCTCAGAAAAGTTTAACCAATGACGAGCGAGTGAAGCGAACGAGCAGGCTTATTTATGCTTAATTTAGGCCATTCATAGTAGCCTAATTACACTTAATTTTTTTTAGTCAAGAAAATTTAGTTTTTGGAGATTTCTGCCATTTCGAGGATCAAAAAACTCAAAAACTCAAAAAATTCCAGCAAAACAAATTAGAAATTTTTTTTAGTCATCTTTCTTCAAAAACTGTTGTCCTGTTTGACTATTTTACTACCCGCCTTGACAAAAATGTATTAGGATCAGTTATAGTATGAACAAAGTATGTTGAATACTTAACTAATTTAGATCGATTTCAGTTTGAAAAAGTACGAAGATTGAATAAAAAAAGATTCAAAATGATTTTAAATCGATTTAAACCAATTTTTTCCAGTCTTTTTTTTTCAGGGAATTAAAACGGATTTAAATCGTTTTAAATCAAATTTTTCATTTGAGTTTCTTCAATTTCGAACTTTTATTGCATTTATTTATTGCCTATCCTTTTTCATTATACACCTAGAGCGTATTGTAACATAAAAAAACCAAAAAAAGACCAAAATATTGATAAAATGGCTCTTTTTCTTTTCCCCCCACCTCCCATAAGCATCAATTTTATTGTGCAACGAGGGATTTAACAAGGTTAATCATGAAGACCAAATATGTTTGTCATGACCTAATTAGTTCGCATCCCAATTTTTGTATCATTCAAATGACGTGAACGAAATTTCACTAGTAAATTTTTTCAGGTGGGGGAAAAGGAAAAAAAGCCGATAAAGCTCTTACTTTTCCTGGCATATTTTGAGTTCAAAAACTGATCTCGATTGACCCTTTTACTCCGTTTCATAAGTTTTTGCTCAAACTCCGTTTACATTCATGATTTTCTATGATTTGATTGCATGCTATTGAGATCAAAATTTAATTTTTTCGGACCCTTTTCTTGTATATTACACAAGATTTTGCCCAAAATCTGATTTAAAATGGCTTTCTATGATTTCATTGCATGTTTTTGAGCTTGAAATCTGATTTAAGTGGCTCATTTTACTGAATTCATAACATCTGGCACGTGTGTTTCTCACCTAAATAATCGAGAATTCAAAATTTCAAAATTTTTTGATGAGTAGGTTTTTTTGCCGTGTTGGCAAAAAAATTGATTTTAGTGAGTCTAAAAATCCATCCAAATCGATTTAAATTGATTTTTAAGATACTTAAACCGGTCTAAAACTTTCAAGAAGAATCGATTTAAATTGATTCAAAATGGATTTAAATAAGATTCGTATGGATTTAAGTGAGTTTCGGATGCATTTCAGTGAATCGGAAAATGCATTCAAATCGATTTAAATCGATTTTTTATACACTTAAATTGATCTACGGTTTCCAAAAAAGATCAGTTTAAATCGATATAAAATCCATTTAAGTTTGTAAAAAGTACATTGTTAATCAATTTGGATCGATTTTAAATCGATCCAAATCAGTTTAAAAAAATTCGGTACTGTTTATGTCAGTGCGGGTATGACTGTCGAATATGCCGAAACTATAGCTTTACATCAGATCCTTTTATCACACCCCGCAGAAAACTCTACACTAATTTGAGAACAAAATTTCTCAGATTTTTACAGATTTGATCGGATTATTCTGTGCTACTTCACCGTAACCAGCTTCCTTGTTTTGTATTGCAATGATTTGACGACTCGCAAGTGTTAAATTTTTCTTTTCTGTGAATTACTTTTTTCTATTAGCTTGTAATGTTTTGTGCTTAAGCAACCGACTATGTGTTTATTTCAAAAACGTTTGGATCAACAGAAGGAAAGTTGTCAGAGATAGATACTTAGTTCAAAGCTAGTAAAGTTCTCTCTTTTAAAGGCTGGCCATTTTTAACAGAAAGTTGAAATGACGAGCAACATGTGGAAGAAGTGGTAAAAGTTTAATTTTTTTTTAAATTCTTACTTCTCAAAAAACAAAGTCTGACTGACAATCTTTTAGCATGTAGAGTGTTCATAGAGAAAACGTTTAATGTAATGCAAGGAACCAGTGCACAGTTCATTAGGGTTTGTCTCAACTGGTAACAATTAATTCGGCTCTTCCCCCCCCCCCCCCCCCTCCCCCTCACATTTCAAATATTTCATTTTTTTTTCAATTTTATTATGGCTGAACGCGTGTTTCTACGAAGTAATGAAGAAGAAAAAAAGGTGCTCGAAAGGTGGAAAAGAGCACTTTATTCTTAAAAAAATATTGGTTTCTTATAAGACTGCCCTATTCCCCCGTAACGCACTAATTTCAGCCGAACTTTAGCAATCCTCGTACCTGATTGGTGCAAGCAGATTTCTCCCACTTGTACTCTGACCCCCCGTCCAGCGTTTTGCCCCCTATCCAGGCCATGACGTCATTGTACTTCTTGAAGAAGCCCAGCTGAGCCACCGATCTCTGCTCAGATACACTCTCAAAAGAGACCAGGTAGCAGTTCTTCGAAGTGGCGCTGCAGTTTTTGGCCGCTGAGGCTTGATCCAGAAACTTGAATTTGGACAGCACGTACCAACTTCCATACCGACTGCTGAAAATCAATGGAATTAAAGGTTAGCAAAATTAGCAGGTGGTTTGTTGGCAAATAGCACAGCTTTTTAAACCTCTGTTGTCCATCAAAAACAAATAAAAACAAAATCGAACGTAGTTGCTCATTTCGCTTTTTAAGGTGATGCGGAACCTGCTTTAATTCAGCCTACCTCTATAGCTGAATTTTGAAATCGAATGATTTGTTAATTCTGTTATGGTGTCATGCAAGTTACTTTTATCGTCTCTGCATATTTACCATAAAAAGCCAAAAACAAATCAGAAAGCAAAAATTGCAAAAGTGGACTCAAAATTTTTTCTCAAACAAAAGTTTTTCAAAATACTGGAATGCAGCTCGAAACCAAAGTTGAAATAATACTTCAAGCTAACTTAGCGAGTTTGATTTATGTCAAAAAATTTACCTGATACCAACTTTATTCTTTATTCACTGGTGATTTTTTTCTTTCTATTCCGGACACTTCTAGTTATAGAAAAAATTACACGCTAACCTTAGTGAAACTTTTATCGGACTGGTCATTTTTTCCAAATTCACATCGCCACTGACAAGAAATAACAAGAGTTTGCCCTTAATGAGATCATTTAGAGATTTATAAAGAAAAGGGATGTAGATTGAGTCCGATCATAAGAAACTAATTCAGTTTTCGCATCATCTATAGTTCAGTTTCAATCAATTTTAAACCGTCTAAAATTCACCTTCTCTCAATTTTTTTTATATTGAAAAATACTTACTTAATGAAACTTCAAATTTCGTTTTTGTTGAAACTTAGTAGTAGAAATGTTAGAATTGCTTGAAATGTTTTTTAGAAAAAGAGTAGTAAGTATCGATTTTTTTTTCTAGTTGTTTCAGGTATGCGTTCTCTAGAAAAAGGGTAGTTAGTATCGATTTTTTTCTAGTTGTTTCAGGTATACGTGCAGGTAGCCTTTGAAGCGCGAAAAAACCTAATAGTTCGGTAACAGATGAAAACTTTTGAAGGGATTTTTTTTCAAGGTATATCATCAGTCTACATCAGTCTACAAAGAGAAAAAAACATCCTTTCTGAGGCATTTTGGTTTGTGTCGTTTGAAATTTAATCATTTGAGAACTCCAAAACTAACTGTTTAAAGCAAAATTTAATAGCAGGAGCAAGTTAGTCGAATCATCAATTTTATTGAGTTTCGAAAAATTGAAAAGTAAAACAAAGCTTTGTCTTTTCTAAACCGTCAACGATTTTGGTCTCCAAAAATCAGCTTCTATAAGCCTAGCAAATCGTGCTCGAAACTTTTTCCGTCAGAGTCATTTTTATTATCACAGACTCTCTAAAAGTCCCAATTTTTTTGTTAGTTCAAAAAATTTGTTTTCTATAAACAAGTAAAATTTGTTGGTTAATTTAGGATGAAAAATCCCTCATGGATTCTTAAGTTTGACATCAAGCTACCCCATGAAAAACTAAGTTTTTCGAAAAAAATTGCTACTATTTTCCATTTTGGGTCAGACTTTCTGTCTTTTAACTCAAATTTTCAGGCAGCATTTCGATTTACGTTTGAGAAAGTAATGAGCGTAATTTTACATTACACACAATTATTTTATTTGTGTGTGGATTCCAGATACTGTCCAGGTTCCGCAAATGTTGTTGGGGATTTCGCAACATTGGCTATTTGTGGATTAATTTTGAGCAATACAGTAGTTTTTTCAGTTTTGTTTGTTTGTAGAATCACAAACAGTAGAGAAGATTAAAAAAATCAAAGTCGCGGATTTTGCAACAGAACTATTTTGGGGTTGTTCTGGAATCGCTTACAACTCAAAAAATGCACAGTTTGCCTCGTAGCTAAATCGATTAAGACAACTTGGCTAATGAAATCCTGGATTTCTAATTATACTGTTTTTGAGAATTGAAACATTAATGATTTGCTGTACAGAAATAATACTGTATTTCTCTTTACAAGCGCTTTAGAGCTGATGATTTTTTATAAAATGGTAGAAAATCTGCACATTTTTTAAAACTACTTGTAGCATTAGATTTCAGCAGTGCGGACCGTAACTAGACAGTCGAACTAAAAATTTTTGGCCACCAATGAGTTTATTTAATAGAATTTTTTTCTTCGTTACTTTTTGAAAATTTTTTGAAGTCTGGAATGATATTATTCGATTGAATTTGTTTCTGTTATCAGTTTCTAGAAACCAACAAAGTCCTTACATTTTAACCTCAATTAATTTAACACAAAAACGTTTCGAAACTTACTTTTTGTTTCCTTAGCAATTAAAAATAATTACATTTTAAGGCCGCCATTATTTAAGATTGACACCGTTTTAATCCAGACTGAAAAAAAAATTTATTTCAAAGTGGATTTCGGCAAAAAAAAAACAGACAAGACTGATCATATTATGGCAAAGGCCTGAATGTTCTGACTGCCTTTTAAAGTCTACGAAGCATTGATAATGCGAAAAAAAATAACTGTAAAAAAAAGAAAAACAATTAAATGAGTCTTTTTTAAATTTGAAATTTTTTTGTGAAATCATCCCCTCACACGCCATATAAAGAACAAAGTGATAAGATTTGTTCCTAGTAAAAAATCAATAATAGCAAATATGCTTTCTTCAACCAGTTTGCAAAAACTTTTAGGACGGATATCGAGCAAAATATATCGAGCGTTAATTGTCCCAAATTGGTCAAAAATCCAATCTTTAATTCCCCATACCTTTACGGAAAAAGATCAAAGGTGAAGTATCTTTTCAAAATTAAGGTCAGGAGAACAATACCTTTTGAATGATTTTCAAAAATTCCGTCAGAAAGTCTAGTTAAGAAGTCGAAATTTGTCTGAAGAAAGAACCCACCCTGTGCTCAAATATTCCCCTAGTTTTGTTAGGAAAGTTGGAACAAAAAACTTTTGCCTTTTAAAGACAGACATGTTTGCGCTACCTTACTCACAAAAGTTATGATCGGAATTGACCTTGCCAATAGTTGAGACTGCGTCATTTTTAATGTGATGCGTGTGTTAAGTGCACAGTTATTTTTAGTGTGATAGGAGTTAAGATACAGAGTTTATACATTATTTTTGGTGTTAAACTATAAAATTGGAATTCAATAGTAAGGAAATTAAAATGTTTAGTAGTAAAATGACTAGTTAGTAAAATGTATCAGCAAGGAACCAAATGAATCAGTTCAACTGGATTTTTGGGGGCCCATTAACTACTTAAATGAATCCCGGAAATGTGTTAGTGGCGGTTGATCGGTTTTCTCGTTGGCCCTCGGCAGTGGTCTGTGGAAATAATCAATCTGATAAAATACTGAAGTATTTGAAAAGCTATATAGCAAATCATGGAGTGCCAAGGAAAATTCACGTAGATCAGGGTACGAGTTTTATGTCGAATGAGATTAAAACGTTCTGTAATGGGGAGGGCATTAAAATAATAAATTCACCTGTTAATGATCACCGGGCAACTGGATGCGTGGAGCGCACCATAGGTAGTCTTAAAAATTCCATTCTTAAGACTTACTTAGGACTTAGTTTTTGTTTCCTTAGCAATTAAAAATAATTAAATTTTAAGGCCGCCATTATTTAAGATTGACACCGTTTTAATCCAGACTGAAAATTTTTTTTATTTCAATGTGGATTTCGGCAAAAAAAACAGACAAGACTGATCATATTATGACAAAGGCCTTTTAAAGTCTATGAAGCAGTGATAATGCGAAAAAAATAAGTGTAATAAAAAAAAAGAAAAACAATTAAATGAGTTTTTTTTTAAATTGATTTTTTTTTTGTGAAATCATCCCCTCACACGCCATATAAAGAACAAAGTGATAAGATTTATTCCTAGTAAAAAATCAATTATAGCAAATATGCTTTCTTCAACCAGTTTGCAAAAATTTTTAGGACGGATATCGAGGCACGTGTGTTTCTCACCTAAATAATCGAGAATTCAAAATTTCAAAATTTTTTGATGAGTAGGTTTTTTTGCCGTGTTGGCAAAAAAATTGATTTTAGTGAGTCTAAAAATCCATCCAAATTGATTTAAATTGATTTTTAAGATACTTAAACCGGTCTAAAACTTTCAAGAAGAATCGATTTAAATTGATTCAAAATGGATTTAAATAAGATTCGTATGGATTTAAGTGAGTTTCGGATGCATTTCAGTGAATCGGAAAATGCATTCAAATCGATTTAAATCGATTTTTTATACACTTAAATTGATCTAAGGTTTCCAAAAAAGATCAGTTTAAATCGATATAAAATCCATTTAAGTTTGTAAAAAGTACATTGTTAATCAATTTGGATCGATTTTAAATCGATCCAAATCAGTTTAAAAAAATTCGGTACTGTTTATGTCAGTGCGGGTATGACTGTCGAATATGCCGAAACTATAGCTTTACATCAGATCCTTTTATCACACCCCGCAGAAAACTCTACACTAATTTGAGAACAAAATTTCTCAGATTTTTACAGATTTGATCGGATTATTCTGTGCTACTTCACAGTAACCAGCTTCCTTGTTTTGTATTGCAATGATTTGACGACTCGCAAGTGTTAAATTTTTCTTTTCTGTGAATTACTTTTTTCTATTAGCTTGTAATGTTTTGTGCTTAAGCAACCGACTATGTGTTTATTTCAAAAACGTTTGGATCAACAGAAGGAAAGTTGTCAGAGATAGATACTTAGTTCAAAGCTAGTAAAGTTCTCTCTTTTAAAGGCTGGCCATTTTTAACAGAAAGTTGAAATGACGAGCAACATGTGGAAGAAGTGGTAAAAGTTTAATTTTTTTTTAAATTCTTCTCAAAAAACAAAGTCTGACTGACAATCTTTTAGCATGTAGAGTGTTCATAGAGAAAACGTTTAATGTAATGCAAGGAACCAGTGCACAGTTTATTAGGGTTTGTCTCAACTGGTAACAATTAATTCGGCTCTTCCCCCCCCCCCCTCCCCCTCACATTTCAAATATTTCATTTTTTTTCAATTTTATTATGGCTGAACGCGTGTTTCTACGAAGTAATGAAGAAGAAAAAAAGGTGCTCGAAAGGTGGAAAAGAGCACTTTATTCTTAAAAAAATATTGGTTTCTTATAAGACTGCCCTATTCCCCCGTAACGCACTAATTTCAGCCGAACTTTAGCAATCCTCGTACCTGATTGGTGCAAGCATATTTCTCCCACTTGTACTCTGACCCCCCGTCCAGCGTTTTGCCCCCTATCCAGGCCATGACGTCATTGTACTTCTTGAAGAAGCCCAGCTGAGCCACCGATCTCTGCTCAGATACACTCTCAAAAGAGACCAGGTAGCAGTTCTTCGAAGTGGCGCTGCAGTTTTTGGCCGCTGAGGCTTGATCCAGAAACTTGAATTTGGACAGCACGTACCAACTTCCATACCGACTGCTGAAAATCAATGGAATTAAAGGTTAGCAAAATTAGCAGGTGGTTTGTTGGCAAATAGCACAGCTTTTTAAACCTCTGTTGTCCATCAAAAACAAATAAAAACAAAATCGAACGTAGTTGCTCATTTCGCTTTTTAAGGTGATGCGGAACCTGCTTTAATTCAGCCTACCTCTAAAGCTGAATTTTGAAATCGAATGATTTGTTAATTCTGTTATGGTGTCATGCAAGTTACTTTTATCGTCTCTGCATATTTACCATAAAAAGCCAAAAACAAATCAGAAAGCAAAAATTGCAAAAGTGGACTCAAAATTTTTTCTCAAACAAAAGTTTTTCAAAATACTGGAATGCAGCTCGAAACCAAAGTTGAAATAATACTTCAAGCTAACTTAGCGAGTTTGATTTATGTCAAAAAATTTACCTGATACCAACTTTATTCTTTATTCACTGGTGATTTTTTTCTTTATATTCCGGACACTTCTAGTTATAGAAAAAATTACACGCTAACCTTAGTGAAACTTTTATCGGACTGGTCATTTTTTCCAAATTCACATCGCCACTGACAAGAAATAACAAGAGTTTGCCCTTAATGAGATCATTTAGAGATTTATAAAGAAAAGGGATGTAGATTGAGTCCGATCATAAGAAACTAATTCAGTTTTCGCATCATCTATAGTTCAGTTTCAATCAATTTTAAACCGTCTAAAATTCACCTTCTCTCAATTTTTTTTATATTGAAAAATACTTACTTAATGAAACTTCAAATTTCGTTTTTGTTGAAACTTAGTAGTAGAAATGTTAGAATTGCTTGAAATGTTTTTTAGAAAAAGAGTAGTAAGTATCGATTTTTTTTTCTAGTTGTTTCAGGTATGCGTTCTCTAGAAAAAGGGTAGTTAGTATCGATTTTTTTCTAGTTGTTTCAGGTATACGTGCAGGTAGCCTTTGAAGCGCGAAAAAACCTAATAGTTCGGTAACAGATGAAAACTTTTGAAGGGATTTTTTTTCAAGGTATATCATCAGTCTACATCAGTCTACAAAGAGAAAAAAACATCCTTTCTGAGGCATTTTGGTTTGTGTCGTTTGAAATTTAATCATTTGAGAACTCCAAAACTAACTGTTTAAAGCAAAATTTAATAGCAGGAGCAAGTTAGTCGAATCATCAATTTTATTGAGTTTCGAAAAATTGAAAAGTAAAACAAAGCTTTGTCTTTTCTAAACCGTCAACGATTTTGGTCTCCAAAAATCAGCTTCTATAAGCCTAGCAAATCGTGCTCGAAACTTTTTCCGTCAGAGTCATTTTTATTATCACAGACTCTCTAAAAGTCCCAATTTTTTTGTTAGTTCAAAAAATTTGTTTTCTATAAACAAGTAAAATTTGTTGGTTAATTTAGGATGAAAAATCCCTCATGGATTCTTAAGTTTGACATCGAGCTACCCCATGAAAAACTAAGTTTTTCGAAAAAAATTGCTACTATTTTCCATTTTGGGTCAGACTTTCTGTCTTTTAACTCAAATTTTCAGGCAGCATTTCGATTTACGTTTGAGAAAGTAATGAGCGTAATTTTACATTACACACAATTATTTTATTTGTGTGTGGATTCCAGATACTGTCCAGGTTCCGCAAATGTTGTTGGGGATTTCGCAACATTGGCTATTTGTGGATTAATTTTGAGCAATACAGTAGTTTTTTCAGTTTTGTTTGTTTGTAGAATCACAAACAGTAGAGAAGATTAAAAAAATCAAAGTCGCGGATTTTGCAACAGAACTATTTTGGGGCTGTTCTGGAATCGCTTACAACTCAAAAAATGCACAGTTTGCCTCGTAGCTAAATCGATTAAGACAACTTGGCTAATGAAATCCTGGATTTCTAATTATACTGTTTTTGAGAATTGAAACATTAATGATTTGCTGTACAGAAATAATACTGTATTTCTCTTTACAAGCGCTTTAGAGCTGATGATTTTTTATAAAATGGTAGAAAATCTGCACATTTTTTTAAAACTACTTGTAGCATTAGATATCAGCAGTGCGGACCGTAACTAGACAGTCGAACTAAAAATTTTTGGCCACCAATGAGTTTATTTAATAGAATTTTTTTCTTCGTTACTTTTTGAAAATTTTTTGAAGTCTGGAATGATATTATTCGATTGAATTTGTTTCTGTTATCAGTTTCTAGAAACCAACAAAGTCCTTACATTTTAACCTCAATTAATTTAACACAAAAACGTTTCGAAACTTACTTTTTGTTTCCTTAGCAATTAAAAATAATTACATTTTAAGGCCGCCATTATTTAAGATTGACACCGTTTTAATCCAGACTGAAAAAAAAATTTATTTCAAAGTGGATTTCGGCAAAAAAAACAGACAAGACTGATCATATTATGGCAAAGGCCTGAATGTTCTGACTGCCTTTTAAAGTCTACGAAGCATTGATAATGCGAAAAAAAATAACTGTAAAAAAAAGAAAAAGAATTAAATGAGTCTTTTTTAAATTTGAAATTTTTTTGTGAAATCATCCCCTCACACGCCATATAAAGAACAAAGTGATAAGATTTGTTCCTAGTAAAAAATCAATAATAGCAAATATGCTTTCTTCAACCAGTTTGCAAAAACTTTTAGGACGGATATCGAGCAAAATATATCGAGCGTTAATTGTCCCAAATTGGTCAAAAATCCAATCTTTAATTCCCCATACCTTTACGGAAAAAGATCAAAGGTGAAGTATCTTTTCAAAATTAAGGTCAGGAGAACAATACCTTTTGAATGATTTTCAAAAATTCCGTCAGAAAGTCTAGTTAAGAAGTCGAAATTTGTCTGAAGAAAGAACCCACCCTGTGCTCAAATATTCCCCTAGTTTTGTTAGGAAAGTTGGAACAAAAAACTTTTGCCTTTTAAAGACAGACATGTTTGCGCTACCTTACTCACAAAAGTTATGATCGGAATTGACCTTGCCAATAGTTGAGACTGCGTCATTTTTAATGTGATGCGTGTGTTAAGTGCACAGTTATTTTTAGTGTGATAGGAGTTAAGATACAGAGTTTATACATTATTTTTGGTGTTAAACTATAAAATTGGAATTCAATAGTAAGGAAATTAAAATGTTTAGTAGTAAAATGACTAGTTAGTAAAATGTATCAGCAAGGAACCAAATGAATCAGTTCAACTGGATTTTTGGGGGCCCATTAACTACTTAAATGAATCCCGGAAATGTGTTAGTGGCGGTTGATCGGTTTTCTCGTTGGCCCTCGGCAGTGGTCTGTGGAAATAATCAATCTGATAAAATACTGAAGTATTTGAAAAGCTATATAGCAAATCATGAAGTGCCAAGGAAAATTCACGTAGATCAGGGTACGAGTTTTATGTCGAATGAGATTAAAACGTTCTGTAATGGGGAGGGCATTAAAATAATAAATTCACCTGTTAATGATCACCGGGCAACTGGATGCGTGGAGCGCACCATAGGTAGTCTTAAAAATTCCATTCTTAAGACTTACTTAGGACTTAGTTTTTGTTTCCTTAGCAATTAAAAATAATTAAATTTTAAGGCCGCCATTATTTAAGATTGACACCGTTTTAATCCAGACTGAAAATTTTTTTTATTTCAATGTGGATTTCGGCAAAAAAAAACAGACAAGACTGATCATATTATGACAAAGGCCTTTTAAAGTCTATGAAGCAGTGATAATGCGAAAAAAATAAGTGTAATAAAAAAAAAGAAAAACAATTAAATGAGTTTTTTTTAAAATTGATTTTTTTTTGTGAAATCATCCCCTCACACGCCATATAAAGAACAAAGTGATAAGATTTATTCCTAGTAAAAAATCAATTATAGCAAATATGCTTTCTTCAACCAGTTTGCAAAAATGTTTAGGACGGATATCGAGCAAAATATATCGAGCGTTAATTGTCCCAAATTGGTCAAAAATCCAATCTTTAATTACCCATACCTTTACGGAAAAAGATCAAAGGTGAAGTATCTTTTCAAAATTAAGGTCAGGAGAACAATACCTTTTGAATGATTTTCAAAAATTCCGTCAGAAAGTCTAGTTAAGAAGTCGAAATTTGTCTGAAGAAAGAACCCACCCTGTGCTCAAATATTCCCCTAGTTTTGTTAGGAAAGTTGGAACAAAAAAATTTTGCCTTTCAAAGACAGACATGTTTGCGCTACCTTGCTCACAAAAGTTATGATCGGAATTGACCTTGCCAATAGTTGAGACTGCGTCATTTTTAATGTGATGCGTGTGTTAAGTGCACAGTTATTTTTAGTGTGATAGGAGTTAAGATACAGAGTTTATACATTATTTTTGGTGTTAAACTATAAAATTGGAATTCAATAGTAAGGAATTTAAATTGTTTAGTAGTAAAATGACTAGTTAGTAAAATGTACACAGTTAAATTAGTTGCTACTAAATTGTAGGTATCATTAATTTACCTCGTATATTAACAATTAAAAAATGAATTTCACATTCCAAGTCATCATAATCGATTTTGTTTTTGGATATAATGAATTTGAACACTTTTAAAAAAAAGTTCGGAGTGCTTTTTTCATATGTTTATAATATATATAAACTTGCATTAGATATTTTTGTTTTGCTCAATTTTAGGATTTTTTGCACGGTTTTTGCTTTGTAAACTCAGATGCTTTTATAATTTATGTTTTTTTTTGCACTTTTTCCCACAGCGAATAGCTAGAAAGAGTTTAATGATCATAAATCAGTTTCAATAAAATCAAGTGGCTTGCAAGTCTTGTATTTTTGCTGAATTATAGCGTAGCAAAGTTTTTAACTATCAGATTTTTTGCTGAAAAGTAATTTGATGTTGCAGAGAATTTAAAAATTGAAAGTGATTGATGACAAATATGTGTGATTTTTGTTTAAAAGAATTAATGGTCTAAATTTGCAATAAAACAAACTAAGACCGTCGAACGAACACTATAGTCGAACAAAGTCGAATCATGGGTCGAACAGGGTCGAATCACGAGTCGAACATGGTCGATAGAGTCG